AACCCCCATCTGCGAGCCAAGCCCCTTTCCGTGTGCGCCCCGGGGGGACCCTCTCCTGGCTCCCCGCGGAGTCCCAAAGGCGCCCCCCCACACACGGCTCTCCGGGGGCCCCCAGTCCCCCCCACCTCCTCCCAGCCCTGCCAGGGCTCCCCCGCTCGCTGGGGCGGATAATTGCCCTCGCCCGCCTGTTCTCCCTTGTTTAAAGTTTGTTTGCTAAATGTCTTCTATTAGATTATGCTCGTTCATTCCCCCTCCAACCTTATCTCCTTCTGTCTCTTCTCTCCTTGCCCGTCACACTCGATTTAGGCACGAGTTTATCTGGCAAACAGTTTGCCGACTTTGTTTATTTACCGCGGGTTCTGGGGCCGCGAGCGCGCGAGCGCCAGTGTTTGCCTTTGTAATAGTTATCTCCTCATTGTTGTTCTTCGTTAGTCTAGCTCCCGCCTCCCCCCTCGCTCCTTCGGTGGTGGGGAATGGAGGGAAGAAAGGGGGAGTCTTGTCAGCCCAGTGTGGGCTCGCCCCTCGCCGGGAGCCCCTCCCCCAGGAGTGTCCCCTCTCCGCGCGCCCCATCCCCCACCGCCCGGCCAGCGAGCCCCTCGGGCCCCTCCCTCTCTCCCTCCGGTCTCGCTGAATATCCACCGCCGAGCGCAGCCTAAAGCCGGGGAATTGCCTGACACCCTCCCATCTTCCTCCGAGCCCCCATTATGCGAAGCTGATCCCACTCTGAACAGCCTCAAATCCCGCCTGGACTCTGTTTGATTAGATTGCCAACCCGGGGTAATCCTTTGATTTGGTGGAGTGTCAATTGCCTTTCTCTAAATACACATTTACAGAGGAGGGAACTTGTTGGTTTAAATCAATGCAGATTGTTTCTTGATAAATGGACTATCTTCGTCCCCTCCCTCGCACCCTCTCCGGAGGCCCCTCTCCCTCTCCGCCCCTCCCCTGCCCGGCTCTCGCCCGACCCCGTAAACAATGCCCCTTCCAGGTGTGAAGCCGAAAGAACGGTGTGGGCTGAGCGGAGCTGGGCCCCCCTTCCCCTATTCATTCGCTCCCCCGGAGCCTAATTAAATTTGGCAGGTCCTCGTACACACAATCAAAACAGCTTCCTCCAGTGTAGCGAACGACCGAAAACCGCATTAGCAGCCATCGCCACTGCCAAATTAAATTGTTTCCCGCCTCCTTTTACAAGTGTCTAAAACCGACACTCCGGGCTCTCCCCTCCTTTCCGATCCTGCCCCGCCATTTCCCACTCCACACCTGTATGTTTGCTGCTTTAAAAAATAAATAAGGAAAAAATAATGCAAAGAAAAACAAATCTGCTTCGCACACCTTCCTGGCCCCCCCAACCTCAGATGGTCTCAGACCCAGGGAGTCTGCAGATACTCTGGCCTGGCTGGACTCTGACACCCCCAGGGATTCCCCCCCCCCCAGGATAACACTGCCTCCTCCACCTCTTCTCCTAATTCTTATCTTGTAACTTTTTTCCACGTTTCATATTAATTGTACCTGGGTGGGCTTTCCACCCTAGAGACCAAATGCAGCCCCACATCTGATCTGGCCAGTTTGGGCTTAAATGTGTACACTGGCAGATGCGTGAGGCTTCGGTGTTATCGCTCGTCACTGTTGCTGTTGTAATTTATATCATTGCTTCTTTCTTCACACTCACTTCCTTGGCTCGCACAGAGGAATGGTCTGACCCTTCGCAACCCCCTATCAAATTCCCCACAGGAATCTCTCTGGGCTCAGATTCTGGGAGAATCCTTTCCTTTCCCTTCCCTCCTCGAATCCTCTCTCTGTTGGGTCCCCAGCTTGTCTGTCCCCTGATCCTCAGGGAACGGGGTGAAAGGGAGAGTGCCCAGGTGCATGGGACCCCAGAACTGCCCACTGCCTTCTCCAGGTGAGCAGAGCTTGGTCCTAGCCCCTATCAGCAGCGGTCTGAGAATTCTCACAACCAACAATCCTAATAACTCAGTCTTAACAAGGATAAGAGCAAAAAAAAAAAAAAAATACGAACAGCCTCATGAATATCAGCCCAAGGGGAGCAGGAGTGAGCTGTTCAGAGATGAAAGTGCACAGAAATAAAAGCTCAATTTAATCTGCTTTAAAACCCTTCAACTTAACGTTTGTGCTTCAAACTCTGAGAGTGAGGACTGATTGCGGATAAATAGTTTCTTACCATGCCTGGAAGCTATTACACCCCTCTCCAACACAGTTTCCTATTCAGCAGTCCCAGTTTTCATTACCAGCTCTAATAAGTCTTAACATTATTAAATGCCAAGCGGACGATAGGAAAAAACGGACTCAGGGAGGGATCTCTCTTTAGCGCTTAAAGAGGAGAGCTCTTAAACCCCTTCTTTGGTGGCTCCCCGCCACGAGAGGGGCAACTGCCCCCCCCACCCCAGAGAAAGCATTTTTCAAGAGCAAGAAGCCAAAACAAAGTTGTGGGTGTGCACACCACCCCCTGCTCTGCCCATGAGGCATCTCTGCCCCTCCAGACCTGGACAACTCGGGTAGAGGTTGGTAGGTCTTTTCACCACTAACTTGGCCATGAAACTAGTGTCTGGGTTCGGGGAGAGGGAGGGGTTCACTGGGGTGCCGTGGACTGGCCCAGGCACTCAAATTGGAAAACAGTATCATGTGTCCACAGATGGACAGACTGGCTTCTCATCTGCACCACCACCTTGCCCATTCACACCACTTACAATCACACACACACCCATGCCGGAGCCCGCCTGAGCAGACACACACCCACGACATTCACATCCAAAGGCCCCGTGGGTGACCAGTTTCGCTGAGAGATGCATGCCCTTACAGGTCCATCCAATGCTCAGTCACAGTGCCCAATGTGCCTGCTGTCACTTAAAAACTGCAGAACTTTCTGGACACCAGGCCCACTGCCTGAGAGCATTTCATGTCTGCAAGTCCTCTGTAGACCCAGCACCTGTGTTCCCAGCCTCCCCCATCTGGCACAGGCTCCTCTTTAAACCCTCGGGGATTGGCGCTTCCTGGTTCTGCAGCAGGGAAACCTCCATCCAGCGAAGCTGCCTGCTAGCTGGTTTTGCGAGCCCAGGCCAGCACTGGAGGCCCCTGAATTCCCTTGAGTCAAAGGGATCCCCCCAAACCGCATGATCTTTCCATCCTCTTCCTCCCCTTTCCTTTCCCCTGTGTGAGGACATTTTCCTGTTTAGGCTTCCTCACAGACAGAACTGCCCATAGCTCCACCGTGCACACACATAAACTCTCTGCAAATAAAACCAAACTCCCTTCCGCTTCTCTTTGGGGTGACTCTCATACGAGGCATCTAGTAAGTATTCGACAGGAAAGGCAATTCAAGTTCTGTGCCCCCTCCCAAAAAGTCTAACTGGTCTCTTTCCAATTGCCAATGCAGTAACTGAAATAAGGACTGGGTTTCCTCCCCCCAGGTGTCCGGGGCTGGGACCGACTTGCCAGGGCCGGGGCTGCTGCAGTGCAGGGCTGCCTCCCGCCCGCAGACCCGAGGCCCCTCAGCAGGGCCGGCACAGCGGGGTGCCAGGCGCAGCTCGCTCCCTTTCTTCCCTCGCCCTTTTGTCCCTAGCGGGACTGCAGCTCCACTGGGGCCCTGAATGTCAATAGCCCGCCCCTTCCCCAGCTCTCGCTTGCTCTCCAACCCGCCGCGGCCCCCAGTCCTTCTCCCTCCAAACAGGCCTGTGGGGGCTGGGCGTCCCTTCCTAGTTGTCTTTGGAAGCTAGCTTTGTCTGTGAAGTTCATCTTCAAGGTTGCAAGGAACTACTGGGAACTCCAGAGAGACCTGTGCTAGGAGTTCTGGGAGGCGAGTAAAGGGGTGCTGGGACAGACACGGGGAAGGAGACCGGGGCGAAATGTGCTTTTCACAGGCTTCCGGGTTCCAGGGCCCTCGGCCACTTTTTGCAAAGCCATCGTTTCGGCAGGTTCCCGCTCCACTGTCCTTCCGATTCTCTCAGCCTGTCGCCTCCCTGCGTGTGTTTGGGGTGGGGGAGCTTTCTCCACCATCCCCACCCCCCAGCCTTTGTGACTCTGGGTCATCCATTTCTATTTCTCTCCCTGTTGCCACTTAACGCATACTTACCAAATCTCAGAGAGAACTGCGAGGGGAAGGGGTCATGAGGAAGGACTTTCCCTTCCTTCTCTCCAAACTTCCCCCGGTCAAGAAACAAAAGCGCACTCCCCTTCCCCGGGCGTGCGCGCGCTTGCAAGATGAGCGCCTTCCCTAGCTGGTAGCGACAAACCCCTCGGTGCTGGGCTCGGGCTGCAGCCGCAGCGCGGAAGCCTGGCTCAGGGTGGGGAGCGGGTGTGCGGAGCTTGAGTCTCTCCCCCACGGGGATCCTACGACCCTAGGCAACTGGGAACTTGGCCTCAACTCCAGGCCCCGCCGGCGCACACCAAAGAGGAAGGCACCCTTCTGCCCCCCGCTCCGCCCTGGCAACGCGGGACTGAGAGCCAGGCGGCGGCCCGCGCTAATTTTTATTGATTGCAGCGGTCAGTCAACTGTCAGAGGGGTTTCAAGGGACCGTTTAGAGAGCGTGTGCGGGTCTGGTTAACAAATTCATTTAGGGACCGGCGGGCCGGCTCCTCCTTCCGCGCCCCCCGCCCCCTTGCCCAAGTTTCCTATAAATAATTGATCGACGCCGGGACCAGCAGCCAAAACGCCAGCCCCGCAGGACTCGGGTAGACCAGGCGCGCGGGGTGGCCCTGTCCGCGGCGCACGGCGCGCTACCCCGCAGCCCCGCTCCCCGGGGACGCACAGTTGTCCGCGCCCCGCTCTGCCGCGCAAAGCAGGCGCCGGCTCCGCACCCTGCCCGCTCCGCACCCTGCCCGGGCCGGGGCGCTCCCCGCCGGAGAGGCTCCCCGCCGCCCCTGCCTGCGCCTTCTTCCCCTGGAATCCTGGCCGCCCTTCCCCGGCCGCAGGCGCGAACCGCCGGCCCACACCTGGAGCGTGGGAAACGCCGGCTCGGGCGTCGCGGGCCGGGGCACTTCCCTACCTTTGTCACCCAGGATGCCGTCGATGCTGTGTTTGGCTTTCTTCTCGCCGTCGTCTTCCTTCTTGTCCGCTTCGTCGTCCTCCTCTTTCTTCCCGAACTTGATTCTCAGCACGCGGCTAATCGAACTCACTAAACCTCAGAAATTCAAAGGCAAAAGAGCGAGTATAAGTTGTTGGGTCGGGGCCCGGCGGCTCGGGGACCCTGGGAGAAAGCTGGGAAGCCTCCGGGTTCCTTTCTCTCATTCATTCCCCCCTCCCCCCACACAGACATTTTTAAGCATTTACACATACTGGAGTTCAGTCACCCGGGTCGGGAAGCCTGCCCCACACCTGGGGCGCAAAGTGGTAAGACGGGGCAGAGACGCCGGCCTAGCGCATGCCTATGCACACCCTTGCACACGTGTGCCTTACACTACTACAGACTGGACACACTCACACCCACATCCACTGCTTCCGGACTCCCTGACGTCCCTCCAGCCCTGCTGCCGCCACCCCCACACTCAGGTGTGCGCCCTGGCCCTGCATGCCTCAGCGCACATGCACACATGTACACACGCACACACGCATGTGCGCGCACACCGGGCCACTTTCCCTCTCACCAGCAGCATGGTTTGGGGCCTCCACATGTGGGACCCACTCGTGGCTAGTGGTAGCAACAGAACAGAAATGAATGGACATCAACCCTCCTAAGACAAACCCATCTATTTGGGACATTTCTTCCAGAAAGCTCCAAGGGAGCTTCTTTTACCATCCAACCTTCCAGGTTAGCTTTTTCCTCCTTCCTTCCTGCCTGCCTTCCTCTCTTCCTCCTGCCTTTCTTCCTTTCCCCACCCTTCCCTAACTTTCTTTTCTTTCCCTCTGCCCATCGTCTTCCTTTCTGTTTTGACTCATTCTCATGCCCTAACTCTCTTTGCCTTCTTGCACCCTCTTCCTCCCAACTTCTCCCCAAGTTCCCGGTCAACCACCATCCTCCCTCCTCTCTCCCCTACCTCCAGCCCCCTGGCCAGCCCGGCTGTGCCGGCTCAGCTGCCTTCTCACCTGAGGGCACGGTGCTGCGGTCACAGTGGCCGTCCTTCAGCAGCCGGTCCCGGATCTCCCAGCTGAACATGCCCGGGTTTTCCCTCTTGTACTCCTCGATCTTTTTCTCCACATCCGGGGTCGCCACCTGCTTCAGAGGTGGAGGTGGGAGAGCAGGAGTGGAAAGATGGGGTGGGGGGAGGGAGATACTTTTAATACCAACCTCCCTAGAGCCCCAGGCCAGGCTGATGGCTCAGATCACCAACGCCCCCCTCAAGACTGGCTTTATCCTTTAGAGAAACCTGTTTCTGGCGCCCAGTCGTGTGTTGTGGGGGCAGGGATAGGTAAAATCGACCTAACTGGAACCCCCGGAATCCTCTCTCACTATTTCAGGCAAAGCTGAGAGAAGATTTCCTCCAGTCTCAGGTGTTAAGGGGTTGGGGACAGATGTTGGGACAGCCCAGGGAGGCTCACAGTCTCAAAGTCTTGAACAACCTAGACCTCAGTGACCCTCATCCCTGAGATATTCAAGTAATGGGAACATAATGGGAGGCTGTCTGGGAGTAGGGGACACTCTTCCACTGTACTTTCCGTGGGGAGCATGTAGACACCCCAGTGCTCCTGGATGGCTCAGGGTAGGAAGAGGGGCCACAGCCAAGACCCCCAGACCCTGGGAAGGCCAGCTGCCAGCCTCTGTGGCACAGACACTCACTCTGGGCTTGCTGCCGCCGATGGCCCCAGGCCGGATGGACCCGTCTCCTGGTAGCGGCAGAGAATCTTGGAGACACAGCCATGGGAGACACGCAGCTGGCGAGAGATGACACAGGGCCGGATGCCATGGTGAGCCATCTCCACTATCTTGTGGCGGATGTGGTTAGGCAGGGTCGCCCGTTGATGAAGACCCCTCCAAGCTGGTTGACCCGGCCTTGGCCAAGTGGAGTGGACACTGGAGAAGGGAGGGGAGAGGAGGAAGGAGAGAGGCACAGGGTGAGGATAGAGAGGACATACTGAGTGCACCCCCTGACTCCAATTTTGTTTGAGCCCTGAGATCTCTGAGAGTGAATCTCTGATGTCCTGACATTTGGAGCTTCAGTAGTTCGGGGAAACAAGTGTCATGACACGGAAGGAGGGTTCTGCAGAGATGGAGAGAGGGGTCAGGGCTGCAAGAGTCCCCCAGATCCTGTGTTCCCCAGCTCCTGCCCCCACCCCCAGGACTGAGGGCACACCTGGAGGATCTGGATGCCCCGAGAAAGGGAGCGAGAGAGACACAGGCCAGAGAGCAGAGCCACCAGGCTGGCAGAGCCTTAGCGATCTTGGCACCAATGGCTCTCTATCCCCTAGGCCACAGCTTGGGCCACGGGTCTGCCTGCCTCTCAGAGAGGCCAATAACTGGTGAGATGCGGCCCATCTGGTCACTTCCACACTCCTAGTAGTCAAGACGGATCCATTTTATTAGGGGCTAGACAGGGCTGGTTACATACCAGCACTAACGGCTCCGGCCTGAGCAGCAGAGCCATGCCACCCATGGTAGAACAGCTGAGCACAGCCCAGGGACGGGTGACATAATGCTGTTGGCCACTGCCTTTGAGGGTACCTGGCTGTTCTGCAAGGGACTCCCCTTACTTCCAACCACTCTCAAAGTTCTAGTTTCGTTTTAGGACAATTTTGGGACACACCACTGCCCACAGTCTCCTACATCGAATGCTTCACTTGGTCTCAGAAATCCACGAACTGCCCCTGCAGGCTCGGCGACACTGGCACCCAGAGTCCCGGGTGTGGGAGACTTTGGGAACCAGGAAGACCGGCACTCGGGGTGTGCTGGGGTGGAGAGAACGCCCCAGTCGCCTAATGCAAAGTCTACACATTTTCCTCACAGAAGGTTGGGGGACACCCGGTGCACTAATCCGGCCTCGATCCCCCCAATTTGGGGACTCAGCGGCTGCGGAGATCTGGAAGATTAGAACGATTTCACAGCCGCGCGAGTGCTGGGAGCTGACGGTATAATTGGAAGGAAGGAGGCAAGGAGAGGCTTGGCTGCTGAACTGTTCCCGCCGCCCCCTCCCTCCCTCTCCCGGTCCCCCCACCTCTCTTTGTAAAAGTAGGTGTCTGAAGCCACCCTCGGATTTAATCAGAAATCGTGCGTCGCCGAGTCAGAGTCACTCGGTCTCCGTGGCGGGATATGCCATTAGCGCTCGAGAGCTCTTGAGCGCCCAACTTTATATTCAAGAGCCTCTTTAGCGACCGGCACTCGGCTCTCCTCAGTATTCTGCGTCATGTTGGGCAAATATTGTTCTAATCCGCGCGCGTCCCCGGCCGCCTGTTTCACTTGCATTCGCTACCGGAGAGTGCTGCGGCAAATCCCCGGGCTTGCGCGCCCTCCCGCCTGCGTGGCTGCTCGCGCGCACTTGATCACGGAGCCGCTCTCTTCGCCTCTGTCTAATCCAGGGACCCGGCGCCGTCTCGCTGCCCAAGGGGCCCCCCTGCTCGGAGCGCAGGCTGCCTGCTCGCCCACCCCCTCCCTGCCTGCTCTCCCCTGCCTCGCGCACAAGGGACTCAGGCAACAGCAAGAAGAGTAATTAAAAAAGGAAAGTCCCACACGTCTCTACTTCTCTTTGACACCCTGGGCTACCTATCCCCAGAAGCCAAGTGATCCCGCAGTGACAGGTCGAAGGCCTTCCACTAGTTTAAAAAGAAAACAGAACAAAAACGCAGGGAAGGGTCTGGGCCGTGCGCTCCCGGCCCTTTCTCCAGCGGGGGACCCGTGGGTCGCCCGTCCTCCCCGCCGTCCGGGGCGCTGGACGTTTAGGAAAGGACACGTTACAAAATCAACACGTTCCCCGGGTCTCCACATTGCCGGGCCCTGTCGCCGTTTTGGGATTCTCTCCCCGGAGATTTCTAGAGTTCAGAAGCCCGAATAAAAAGTTTTTTGGGAAAAAAAATCGTTACTGTGTATTATTTAAAATTAATTTGTGTCCAGGCCGAAAAGCAGGAGTGTTTTGAGTGTCGCTTTGGAAGAAACGGATAGCGTTGGTAGTTTAGACATACAAAGTATCACACATTGAAGGTATTTCGAAATAAAAGGGTTTGGAAGACCATGCCAGGGGTGGAAAGAACAATTCAAAACATGAGCAGAGAGCCGAGAGCCGGCGAGCCCCGAGAGCCCAGGCTCTGCCAGGGAAGAAGTATCTGAAAATAGTGGAAAGAGCTGAAATGCACTAGGACTCAAAATTCACTAGGAGTCAAAGTCCACCGGAGTTCCACCCCGCGGGGAAAGGCCAGCAACGCGCGACCCGGGAAGCCGAGGCCGCGGGTCAGTGAGACCCATGCAGAAACGGACAAGTGTCGGTCCCAGAAACTTCCTGAGTCCCGCGCCCACACCCGGACCCAGCCGGGAAGGGGATGTCCCTGCCACCGCCGGCCGCCACCGCCCCCTGGAGCTTGCCACCTCTCCCGGGACCCCGCGTTCCGGACGCAGGAGGCGAGGCGAGCCGGGGCGCTCTTACCTTCCAGCGGAAATCCCGTGCGCGGGTAGTTCTGCCCCGGAGCCGGCCGCATCATCCTCGGGACCGTGCCGGGAAGGGCCGCCATTCTTGCGCTCGCGGGGGACGAATCCGAAGTCGCCAAAAATCGCTTTTCGTCCGCTCCCTTTACCCCTGCTGCGATCTCTTTCTCTCCTTCTTCTTCTCCCTTTTTTTTTTTTAAGCCTCTTCCCCCTCCCCTCCGCTCGCTCTCCCTTCCCCACCCCCCACCCCCGGCTGCAGTCCGACGCGTCCAGAAGCTGGGGAGGGGGGCGAGGTGGGGGCGGAGGTTGGGGGGAGGGAAGGTGGCGACGAGGAAGTTCAAACAAACAAACACTCCAACCCCAAGTCCGCCTCCGCCCGCTCGGCCGGGCGAGAAGTTGCGCGGCCCGTGCGCCCCGCACGAGTGGGGGACCAGGCCGGGCCGTGGAGGGGGCTGGGGGGACGCGGCCGGAATCGGGGCCCCGGCCTGGGACTGGCTAGCGACTGGCTGTCGCGCTCGGGGCCAAAGTTTCCGAGCCGAGAGACTGCGGAGTGGATTGCTTTTCCGTATATATTTATATATTTATTCTCTCGCTCGCCCCTCCCTCTTCTCCACGCCGGCTGCCTCGGGGCGCGCTCGGGCTCCCCGCACCCGACCGCACCCCGCCCGGGGCCGCGGGAGGGAAGAAGGTGCCGCCTCGGGCTTCGGGACGTGAGAGGAGGCGACGGGTGGCGGGTTGGGGAAGAGCAGTGGAGAAGCGAGGGCGCGAGTGACTGGCGGGGTAAGTTGTGCAAAAGTGTTCCACTGCAGCCGCCGCAGGAGGAGGAGGAGGAGGAGGCGGCGGCGGCAGTGAACGAGATCTGATAGGTTCGGACTTTTCTTTTATTCATGAGGAGGGAAGGGGGCCTGGGCGGACGGCAGCGAGGACCAATAACGAAAAGAAATCGCCAACGAATATTTTTTCCCCTTTTCTAATCCTGGGCTCGACCTCGTTTTGGGGGAGAGTTTGAACTGTCGGTGCAAGCGGAGCGAGCAGAGCCCGGGGAGCTGGGGGCCGCGGGAGAAGGGCGTGGGGGGCAACTTTGCCCGAGTGTCTCCCTTTGATGAGTGCGCGGGTCCCCCGAGTCCCCGGCCCTGGGGCGCCCGCGGCCCGCCGGCGTCCCGGCTCCGTGGGACCGTCCGCCTCCGTCGGGCCCCTCCCTGGGTTCTGGCCTTTTCTCCGGCCGCCCAGGCTCAGAGTCCGGTGTGTTTCACGTCTTCTTCCTCGTCCCACACCCGAAGCTCCGCGAGCCGAGCGGGGCTCGTGGGGGCACGGCCCGGGGCGACTCCCAAGGACCCGCTAGGACTTTCTCCGTGAAATAGTGTCAGCGCCCTGCTGTCGGGTTCTAGCTCGCCCTCTAGCAGCTCGGAGAAGCCCAGAGTGACTGTATCTGGGTCTAAGGCTTGGGGAAGGGGGTCCGTCTGCCCAGTGTCCGGGATGTGTCTTTTCCTCCCCCCCAGGCCCCGCCCCTGCCAGATATCTCCCCCCACTCCTCCCGCATAAACCTCATCCTCCTCTTCGGTCCCTCAGGCCAAAATCCGAACCGCTTTCCAGCGAGTGGTCGCTATCCCAAGGGCTGCACAGCTGGGGCGTGTTGAGGATCTGGGGGTCCAAGGACGTGGGTCGTGGGGGGCGGGAGCCTGTTCTGAACTCGTCATCTCTGAGCTCCTGGCAGGTGGATTGGGGGACGTTACAGTCAAATGGCTGGCCGTGGGGGTGGGGTGATCAGAGGGCCACAATTCTGCTGGGAAGGCCAGAGTGACCGGCAGCCCCAGCCTCGGGACACCGCGTCCCGGGGGCGAAACGCCCTCCCAGCGGGGCAGGACGCCACGACTGCAGGCCTTTTGTCTCCCGGGGGAAAGAGCGTCTGGGCCCGGAGCTGGAGGCAAAATACAATAAAATAAACCCAGCCCTCAAACTCGCCCCCTGCCTGCCCTCTCCTGGCCGTGGGGTCAACCTCATCTTCGCCTGCGGGGCTCTCCACTGGCTGGCCCCAGTGTGCACCCCGCCCCTTCTCACCTGTGACCTTTGCCCCCTCCACATGTGACAGAACCCCTTCTCTCCCCTCTCTCCCAGCACAAGGGGCTCATCAGACTTTTGAGGGGCCTTCTGGGAATGGGGACCCTGTTGAAAACCTTGCTCAACTCACACCTTACGGCAGCTCCAGCACTGGGAATGGGGTGGCTAAGTAGCTTTGGAACTGGAAAGGAGGCCCCAGGTGCCTTGCCCGGACCAGGCTGCCAGGCCGCCTGAGTTACAGGGGCCCTCCCCCGAGAAAGATGGGGAGGTGAAGCTTAAAGCCAGGGCAGAAGGTGACCCCCGTCACATCACCAGTCTCGCTGGGGGGCTGGCCTGCCCCGACCTCCAGAGGTGGGTATATATTCTCTCTATACATGTAAACACACACATATCCATATATCGCACATTCATTCATTCATTCATTCTTCACTAATTTCCCTCCTTGCTTGGAAGGTTTTACCCAGCTCTTCCCTGCATCTGTGGAGTGGCCCAGGCTCCTGTGTGTGACTAGGGGCCTATGCCTGTGTCCGTGCGCATCTAGGTGCAGGTGGGTTGATGTGTTTGGGGTCAGTGCAAGTAAAGGTGTGTTTCTAAGCGAGAGTCTGTGTCTGTGTTTGTGTTGTGGGGTCACATCCATGTTGCCATGGCGCAGCTGTAAATTGGGGTTGGGAAGGTGTGAGTGTGTGTTTGGGTCAATTTCCCAGGTGAGAAATGGCCTGCGGGCAGCCAGGGCTCAGGGAGGCTGGGAGGCCCCATCCTGCCAGCAGGACTCTGAGCCCAGTGGGTCGAGCACACAGCCGGCCACCTATGTGCCCGGCCCACAGCCTTGTCATCCTGCCATCACTGGGGACCCTCAGAACCCCAGACCAAGTTGTGCCTGGACCACCTTGCCCTTTGGCATGGCACAAAACGGAGAGCAGGTTGCCCTAGGCCTGAGCTGGCCGCACCAGCCTTGGCTTTTGCAGCTCGGGGATTCCGTGGGCCCCGGCAGGGCGGGCACAGTGGGGGAAGAAGGGGAGGGGGGTTGTCTGTCGGAATGAGCGTGGCCGTTCTCGCCTGTTGGAGACCAATTTCACAAATGATTTTTGCAACAATTAAGAAGTGTGGCGGGTGAAATGGCGATTTCACATCCAGCAGGGGAAAGGGGGGTTCACCTGGAGGCTCAGGCCGCTCTGGCAGGGGTGGGGGAGGATTTCTCCTCCTCTGCTCTTTTCTTCTGGCTAAGCCCCTTGCCCCAAAATTCACTCCCCGTGTAGACATTAATCAACTCTAAGACCTCCAATCACTGCCGAGAGGCTCTGGGGGTGGGGGGCTCCTGTCTGATGGTCTGCATTAGGCTGCTCGGTCTGAGAAGTTTCCCTTTAGTCTCTCTCTCTCTCTCTCTGTGACACACACACACACACACACACACACACACACACACTTTTTCTGTCCTGTCTCTCTTTGCCCCCCAACCCCATCTCTCCTGTGACCCCTCGTCTGTGTGGGAGACAGTCCCTCTTTCTCTTTTCCTCCTTGCCTTTCTGGCTTTCCCCCAGCCGCTATTCTCTGGGACTCTGTCTCCTCACCGCGCCCCCATCTCCATGGTTTCCTGAGCTATGTATGGGCCTCCACCACTCTCAGCTGCAGCTCAGACCTGACTCCCTGGGAAGAGCCTTTGGTCCAGATGGGCTTGGCCAAAGCCCTTGGGGAAGGGACCCTTTTCCTCCACGTGGTCTGAGGGTGCATCTGCAGGCCCAGCCCAGCCCCCCACGCCCAGGAATCACCGTCTCCCTGTGCTGTCTGGCTTGGACAATTGTCCCCTACCTCCACCTCTCCCTGTCTGGTCTAAATCTCTGTTACCCTCCACTTCCCTTTTTTGAAGGGCAACAGCAATGCTAACAGAAATTCTTCCTCCCAAGTTTCCAAATCGAACCCTCCAAACCCCATTAAAATGGAAGAGAAAGAAACAGGCCTAAGGCACAGAAGCGAGACCTCAAGTTGAGTTCAGCTGGGGGGACTTGGCCTCTCCCTGGCTGCCCCCTCCCCAGACTGTGAATTTGTGGCAAGCTTAAGACTTGGGCCACAATGGGGCTCCCCTCTCCCTGCCCCCAAGTGGCCAGTGCCCTCGTCCCCCAGCCCAAGAGGGAGGACACTCTTTATTTCAGACTCCTGTGCAATGAGAACTTTTTGAAAGCGATTACCCAATAAATCTTCCTCTAAAGGGTGATAAATCCACCTTGAAAACCTGGGGTTTTGATTTCGGCAGGGGCCTTTTGCATTTTCAGAGGCTCCGGCCTGCTCTGCTCTGCTGAAGAGGCCAAAGACATCGACAAATGGAATTATTCAGTCTTCAAATGTTTGATAACGAGAGAGGAGGGGGCGGCCGTGGGGGTGGGAGGGATATGAAATATCCACGAACAAAGGACTCTCTGGAGGCCAGAATTCCTCAGCGCCACATCTGAAGAGACCCCTGGGAACAGAACACCTTTTCTCCACTCCCCCAATCTTTTACTATTATTTTTTTCTTTTAAGAAGTAGTGCTCTTCTACGAGTGACCTTGAAATAATCTGGCCGATCCTGAGTAGGAAGGAAAGGGAGACCAAAATGTTTTCCTGCTGGACACCTTTGCTTTCCCCAGGAAAATAAAATAGTGTGCATTGGATTCCAGTTCCCAAAATAAAGGCAACAGCCGGGTTTCTCCCAGGCTTTTTGCTGAGTAGGATCTCAGGGGAGCCTCCTCCCTCCTTCCTCTCCTTCCTCCTCTTTCTTCCCCTCTCTTCTTTCTCCTCCTCATTTTTTCCTTCCCTCTCCTTCCTCTTCTATTCCTCCTCCTCTCTCCTTTCTTCCTCCTTTCTTCCTCTTCCTCCCTTATCTCGGGCTCTGGCTGGTCCTATCTCGAGGTTCAGGGAATAAGGACAAGTGAGGCTGACAGGTGCCACTCACCTGAGACGCTTCCTCCTCCTGCCGACCCCCCCCCCTCTCGGAGAGGCAGGCCGGGCCATCTTTACAGGGTGGTCCCAATATCTGTAAAACCCTCTCCTGTCTC